AATTGATTTAATTGTCCTGATTAGTATAGAGTTCAAAATTGCCCATGCAGTAAGGTTACAATAATACTTTTTTTTTTTTGAGTTGGAGTCTCACTCAGTCGCCCAGACTGGAGTGCAGTGGCCACTCCCGGCCACCGCAGCCTCGCCTGCTGGGCTCCGGCGATCCTTCAGCCTCAGCCTTCTGAGTACAATAATACTTTAAACAACAACAGAAACTATGTGCATTCCTTTTTTTGTTTTCTTTTTTGGCTGATTTATCAGGCTGTTGTTTTTAATCAACATATATGAATACAAAAATTACTAGTAAAAACTGTCAATAGTAGATACGTTTGACTTTGTGACATTCTTTTTCTCTGCCTTTTATTTTCCAAATAATATCAACTGAAGACACTTTTCTTTAAAATGAAATGCCATTCATTTTAAATGATCTCGTGTGGCAGAGTTAATTGGATATTCGATATCCACTCTCCTCTTCTTTCCGTTTATACTCAGTAAAACACTACATTCCCCAGCCTCTCTTGCAAATGAAGGTGGCCATGTGACCCAGTTTGAATCAATGGGACATAAAGGGAAAGTCCTGGGTGCTGCATTCTGGAAAGTTCTTTGAAGGGCACAGACCTCCCTGCCTGGCCTTCATCTCTGCCCTTTGCCCTTCACATACTGCTGTCTTTGAATGAGGATGTGAAACAGGTGAGAAGGTGAAGCAGCCATCTTATGAGCTTGGGGACAAAAGATACCCATGAAAGGATGGAAAGGTGAAAGAGCCTGGACTACTGAAGGCACTACAGGGCCACAGCACCAACCCTGGACTTCAAACCTCTAATACTTCCTGTTACGGAATAAAAAAGAAAAGAAAAAAGCCTCTTGCTTATTTAAAACTTTCTCTTACATTCAGCCGAATGCAACCCTTAAACCATCATGCTAAAATTAAATTGCTAATTAACAAGTTATACCCCTAAAAGATACTTTCAAAATAATATAATCGAAACTACCTTCAAAGGAGAAAAGTAAACCTTAAAAAAAAAAAAAGGTTGAGGTTGAAGACTCCAAGCTAGTCTACAGCAGAACAAGCACTATAAAGCTTTACTTTCACTTAAGCGAATAATTCTTCCAAAATATTAGAATCACATTGAGCAACACACCTAAAGATGGCTAACATGTATATATTACCACAATAAAAAAGAGTTAAACGTACATTAAAATAAAGTCCACTTTAATTATTTAATTTGAAAACATTTCATGTTTCATTTTATTTTATTATAGAGATGTGGGATACACATGAAGGTGAACTACACAGGCAGGCTGCATGCGGGGGAAGTTTGGGTTTCCAACGGGCCTTCCTTCCACTGGTAGAGAACCCAGTACCCTTTGTATTATCACACGCCCCTTACCCTCCTCCCTCTGGCCCTCCCCTAGCAGTGCCCAGCGACTATCAGTCTCTCACTTGTGTTCATGTGATCATTGTTCAGGGCCCACTTACGAGTGAGAACATGTTATATTCAGTTCTTTGTTTCTGCATTTCACGTATTTTTGTCAAATAACATTTAACAATATCGTACATATACTGGTTAACAACTAGTGTCTATCCTTTTGTTATCTATAAGCAAACCTGAAGTTTGAAGTTACTCAAAACTAGTGTTCAAACCGATTGACATCAATTTAATAAGTATATCTGTATAGATAATTCCTAAAGATTAAACAAACCACAAGGATAATCAGGAAATTTGCAAATGGTGATTGAATTCAAACTCTATCCCACAAAACAACTAATTTAAGCCCTTTTCTCTAATTATCAGTTTAATAGGAAACCAAAAATATGTTTGTATTATATGAGTATATGTCTGAATTTCATAAATATCGTTCTTTATGTCAAAGGATAAGACCTGGTATATCTTTCATCCTCAGGTAAGAGAGCTCTCTTGATTGGACACAGGATTCTTAGATTCCAGTGCTTTTGAAAATTCAGTGTTTGAATACTTCTATCATTGATTCCTTAACTAGATTTCTAATTTCTGTTGCCCAGACAAATCCTCAACCCAGATTTCATTGTTTAAGAAAACCCAAAGACTCTCATGAGGCATCTGCACAGAGAACAGGCAGGGTTCCCTTTACAATGAACTATTTAGACCAGGGGTGTTGACCTTTTGGCTTCCCTGGGCTGCATGGAGTGAAGAGGGATTGTCTTGGGCTGCACATAAATTACGTAGTATACTTAGTGTATATGCATAATAAGATTTATTTTATTTCTTATATTTTCTATTACAGAGTTTAGAAAAATGAGGACAATATAAAACCAGTGGGAGATTTGACCTTGTTTTTGTTAAACTGATCTATCACTGTCTGATTTATTGGAAGTGGTTACAATTCTTAGTGAGTTCCCAAGGTGCTCGCCAGAAACGTTTGTTTGAATTTTGTTCTTTGTGTGCTTCATAATTTAAGACAGTCGCTCACAAATGTATGTGCTGCCAAAAAGCAATGCCAGGAATAAAGTGTGATTGTGAACTTCAAAAATGGAGTCATGCATGGGGTCACGAAGAAAATATATGATGAAAAACACATATTAAAAGATTCTGTGAGCTGGGCTCGGTGGCTCAGCCTGTAATCCTGTGCCTTTGGGAGGCTGAGGTAAGTGAATTGCCTGAGCCCACGGGTTCGAGACCCGCCTGGGCGGCGAGACCTCATCTCTACAATAAATCAAAAAATCAGCTGGGCGTGGTGGCACATGCCTGCAATTCTGGCCACTCGGAAGGCTGAGGCGGAAGGATCGCCGGAGCCCAGCAGGCCGAGGCTGCGGTGGCCGGGAGCGGCCACTGCACTCCAGTCTGGGCGACAGAGTGAGACTTCAACTCAAAAAAAAAAATAAATAAAAGATTCTGTGGCGCTGCATTGCTGGTTGTCCTGGGCCCACATAGCCCGCAGGCCATGGGTTAGACATGCCTGATCTACACTAAACTTCCATTCTCTTTCCTTTCCGCCTGGTCTGTGGCCCCACTATTGGTTGCTCTGACAGTTCTTCAGTCCCTTACTGAAGAGAAATAGAATTCTCTGCTTCTGAATCTAAACCTCACAGGGAACCATATTTTCTTCCAGAATAACACAGGTCCATCAGGGAAAATAAGTGTATTTTCTTGCCAAATGAATACGTTACAGAGTCTCAGAGCTAGCAGTCAGAAAGTCGCTTCAAGGCTCTTTAGATGTGCTACAAGGGATTTTACCACATCACATCAGCACTTGTTCATATTTTCCATGAGGCTGGTGATAACAAATTTCTTGAGGTAGGCCTAGGGCTGGGCTATCAAGGAGCAGGTAGCCAGAATATTTTGTATCGAACAGGTAGTGTTTCATACCATATATTCTATAGGTAACATTAAAATTCTACCTGCAACTAAGAAACAGCACCGAGCTTAATATAGCCCTAGCAGTGACTTCTGAATGCCACAAGAGGGGGATATAACCCTATAACAGAGAGAAAAAAAACTCCACAAAAAAAGAGTTTTTCCAATTAAAAAGAGAAATATTTTCCCGACTTCTCAAGATATAGAAATAAAGGTCTTTCTGGATTGAAAATAAGAGAGTTATGCAAAAAGACTTATTTCTCCTTGATTCATGAACAAAAATGCACCATTTCTGTATCTCTTTCACTTTGCAATTGTTCCAAGAATAACACCTATAAATGCTCTGACCCTCAGGACTCCTGTGAATATACCTGTCCACTCAGTGGTCTGCCTGTAACTATTCAAAAGCTGTTTGCTGTAATTTCGATAAGCAGGACAGAAGGACTGTTGGTTTAGCATGGAGTAGTGTAGTTAAAGGGTATAGGCTTTTTAAGGAGAGAATCTCCTTACCTCCCCACTGTGTGAGCCCAAGCAAACCACCTCGCCCTTTTAGTGTTACATGCATTAAAGGGCATATATTAAATTTTACACCACAGGGCTTGTTGCAAGATTAAGGTGAGGCATGTGAAATTAATTTTCATTCTATGCATGTTTAATTACAGACATTATTATTATTAAGTCCCACCAATTCAGCTGAGTGTTATGTTTTTATTTTCACAAAGAGTACCCCTTGGGTTTTCATAAGATTTCCACGTTTCTGAGTATTCTTGAAATAAAAATTCAACAGGAGTTCTGAGGAAAAAGCTGGGTCTAAACATGCTCTAAACCCAATAGAAAACTTGCTTTGAGCCTTCTCTACATTTTAAAGGATAAATATTTGAATGACTAAAAAGCAAATGAATGTGCTTTATAAAGTATACGACAGAAATTTAAGTAATTTATCGGGGATTAAAATAAACTCTCAAAGAGGGAAAAGATGTCACTGAGGGCAACCAGAAGAAACAGTAGATGAGTCAGCCTCAAGAGGCTTCATGTTTATTTTAGGGTAATGTTATGGGTTCTCTGTTGGATTTTGTACATATTTTATATGTGTGTGTATGTATGTACACAGATGTGCATGCATGTGAGTGTTGATTGTATATACATGTGCACATGCTTGTATGTATATTACAGAGGAACTAGAATGTTTGTAGACACGTAGAACATATGTATTTCTGTGTTAAATGGGCTCTTTCAGATTGCAAGGGACAGAAAGGTTTCCACTCAGTTTGACTACTGAGGTTCCTTTTTATCCCTTTTGTTTGAACATACACCAGAATCCTTGTCCTTCTTGATAAGGAGGAGATTAAGCTGACAGCCTTGTTACAGGATTCCTTGCATACAAAAACAGCTCCTCTGAACAAAATATTGTATTTGGACCTTGTAGTTTTTAAATTTTTGTTTGAGATGCCCAGGAAAAAAAACACATAATGCCCTTTAGTTATTCTTTTTTTACAAAAATGTTTTATGAAGATAAGCTCTCACTATTAATATATTGCCCAGGTTGGTCTCAAATTCATGGCATTAAGCAATTCTCCTACCTCAGCCTCTCAAAGTACTGGGATTATAGGAACAAGCCACCACACCGGCCAATTATTCTTTTTGTTTAGCTATCTTATTACTCACCACTGGCATTCGTTCATAGACACGAATAGAAGATAGTCTATCTACAATAAAGCAAATATGAGCAATTGATATTTTATCAGAATTAACTCAACTTATAAAACATACATATGATTGTTTTTGTACCTGAAGGATTTCCACGGATTTTTTCCATTTTCTCTTCAAGATAAGCAATTTGCTTTTCTAGTTGATCGTTTAGTTCAAGCTGTGTCTCATAACGGGTTTTCCATTTACTACCTGAGTAAAAAGGGGGAAGAAAAGAAAGATCACTGCCATCTCTCACTTATTCATTAAAATAGCATGAATAGCTCAGTTTTGCTCTGTTACTGTACTCAACGTTATTAGCAATACAGATCGACTAGAAGGAAATGATTTCTATGTTACACAGGATTTTCTAGACTGCAGGGACTAGACCCACACTCAGGCTACCACAGAGCCAGACCTCACTACAACTAATGTGATTCCTGTTCTTCCTTACTTTCCACTCTCTTTTATTGTTTATTTTCTCATGTGGCTTTCTGAAGTCCATTTGAGGGAATATCAGAAACATGTTTCTCTCCTTGGAACTTGAAATATCCACACAACCACCCTAAACAGTACTAACTTCCTATCCAATGTCATGTTCATTTTCATTTTTTTTCTTTTAAAAAACAATCCTGAAGTCTGTGTAATAACTATCATTTTCATGTGTGTTTGCCATGCATAAGCACACAATGCTTTACATATACAAATTTAATTCTAATTTTTGAAAATGTAGTTAACTATTTTACAGATGAGGAAACAAAGCTCAGGGATGTCAAACAACATTAAGATAGCAGAGCTAATAAATGGGGAACTGGGGTTTAAACCTAGTTTTACCTGATTTCAAAATCATATTCCCTTAACTGCTAAGCTAAGGTAGCCTTAGCTATCTTCTCAGGCATTTGGTCTTAACCTTAAGCAATTTTCTTTCACAAAACCTCTCTGGCTGTTAAAGTCAACGCATTTGTCTTATTTCTAGGAGGAAAGGAGAATGCAGTCTAGACTTAAAAGGTCTTTGGCCTCAAAGCCCAAAGCTAACTTTTTTGTCTTGAAAGTCAGGCTTTGTTGCAAAAAAGACGGCCTCTTTTTCAACTTTACATATGTAAAACAACTTCTGCTACATAATAGTTGATAGAGGAGTTGAAGGAGAAAGAGAATACCAACACAACCACTGCCAACCTCCTCAACTACGACACAGGTCTCCCTTACATCCTCCCCTACGTGTGAATGAAAGGTGTTGGAACACACTCCCAAACTGAAACTCATTAACTCAAATGCTTTAGGGAACAAGAAGTCAGAAGAAACCCTGAAAGACTAAACATTTATCCAAAAGGTACTGCAGAGCACAGACAGATGGACTCTTGTTTATAAATGGCTAGCTGAAAAGTCTCTGTCATTGTATCTCCTTTTTCACCATGGGAGTGGACATTTCAGAGCCAGACGAAAATGATTACCAAAAGATTAAAAGTGCAATTTATGCTGGGCATGGTGGCTCACGCCTATAATCCCAGCACTTTGGGAGGTAGAGGCAAGAGGATTGCCTGAGTCCAGGGGTTTGAGACCAGCCTGGAAAACTTGGCGAGACCTCGTCTTTACAATAAATCAAGAAAAATTAGCTGGTGGTGCCCACCTGTAGTTCCAGCTACTTGGAAGGCTCAGCTGGAAAGAGTGCCTGAGCCCAGAGGGTCGAGGCTGTGGGGGCCGTGAGCGTGCCACTGCACTCCAGCCTGGGCAATAGAGTGAGACTCAGACTCTAAAAATAAATAGATAAATAAACAGACAAACAAATAAATAAAAATGCAATTTATTTTTGGCACATTTGAATATAGCTTATAAATTTTGACTTCATTTTATTTTAAATTATTATTGATCTATGGTTAGAAACGATGAGATTTTTAATCATAAATGCTCATATGCTTTCTAACCAGTCATGCCAAAAGTAAATCAAAATTAGCAGCCTATAAAATGCCTATATTATCACTTTTTGGTATATAAGTATTGACAGACTAATTGGACAATCTGAGTGGAGTCCAAACGTAAAACACCTGTATTATCTTCAGTAACAATTCTTTTGAATCTCCCTTTCCCATCTCTTAAAAAGAAATGTTATGGACTTTGCAGCAACTTGGCTGGATTTGGAGTCTATAATCCCCAGTGATTTATCACAGAAAAAAAAACTGAGTACCACATGTTCCCACTCATAAGCGAACCTTGAACATTTACCATAACACTATAAGAGAGGGATTGGCAGTAGTGGGATACTTTTGGGGGTGGGAGTGGGGACACAACATCAATAAGGGTACCTAATCTCAAACCAGGCAAAGTGGGGACCAAAGGGATACACAAACTTTACCTGTACGATATCCACTTGTATGCCTAATCCTGAATTGTACCCCATATCCTTAAAATAAAATAAAATAAAATCTGAGCCACAGTCTATGATTTCTGACCATTTTGAGCGACTGAAGTTCTCAATCTTGCCCAAATGTAAAACTTCCAATTTCATACCCAATAAATACGTCACTCACCTAAAAAATATAAATAACTAAATAAACAAACAAAATTGATCGAAATATAAGCAAATATAGATAAGCCTACTGGTATACTAATGTTAATAGTACATAGTCAAAGTGGTAATGATGTCAATATCCATGTTCCCCAATGTGGTCAACTGATCTCCAATTATATACTCAAAAGTGTGTGAGTCCTTTGGTGTACACAGGTGGTGCTGGATTGTAAAGGATGAAAGAACAAAGAGAAAGGCATATGTGTATGTGGACCCAAGTCCCATTGCTTGTCACCCAGAAGCCAAACTCAAAAGATGACAGTTGGTGAAAGAAAAAAAAAAGTGTGATTTAAGAGCCAGCAACCTGAGAACAAGAAGAACTAAAGTCGAAAAACCACCCCAGATCTTCGGGCTGGTTAGAAGGGAAACTTGGTGTGGGACACATGCAGAAGGGGCACAGGGGGCAGGTCTGCGAGTCCTGCTCTGAGGGCTTCTCTTGGGTGGTCGTCTTCCTGGAGGTCTGACTGGTGTCACCTCAGCTGCAGTCAGGTTATGGGTCATCCGCCTCGCGATTCCCCCAATCCTGAAATAAGGGTTTAATTTCTGGTCTAATATTTGCTTCTGGAATTCTGAAGCAAGTGCAGGATCAGATAGGCATGCTTTAGGGAGGATGAGAGAGAACAGAACAAGGAGGAAGGTAAGAGAAAAAAGCTTTTTTAAAAAAAATGGTGATAAAAAACTGTTTCAAAGCAGGATTCTTGGATACATATGGACTGCTGAATTAAAGGAGAAAAATTTTTAAAAGTAGTTCATATAAAAAATGGGAAGAAAAGTTTTACGTTGTATGAAACCTCTTTTCTCATATGTAAAATAAACTTTCTAGCTTCTAGGATATTAGGAGGATTAATTAAAACATGCAAAATGCTTAGGACTTTGCAGGGCATGCAGAAAATGCTATATGAGGATAACGTTGGTTGTTTTCAATATCATTTTCATCATCATCATCGATAGGGCTTGTAGGGGGATGGGAGAGGAGGTTGCAGTTAAAACAACTCATCATATACACCTCGCCAACGGAGCACAGAGTTGCAAGGGCCCAAAAGCTAACACTGTGCTCTAACAGCATCCTGTTACTGATTGCTTTCCTGCCTGTATCTGCTCTCCCGAGACCCACATCCCAATGACGAATGATGTCCTGGTACTGACTGTCAGTGTTTGCTTTCCTAAAACTACATTTCACAGACAAGTGATTAACATTATCCTGAGAGTGACTCATTGAATGTGGATGTCTGCACTTCAAGGCCTGCACTTCAAGGCCGTAGGACCGGCCTCAGCAGTGCTGACATCTGCATTTGAGGGCCACATGACCGACAACTCAAACGCCCAAAACTGCCTCTTGGAGCCCAATCCCAAACTCCCAAAAACTGCTTCTGAAAGCCCGATAAGCCAAGACTGGAGTTTTATAAGTAGCCAACAAAAGAACAAAGATCACTGGTTTCTCTCTGTAGAGCCAGCCACCGCCCCCCTCTTTAATAAACCATTTTAGCCACCAGCAGCTCATCTCTTCTTTCTTGGCAAACGTTACAACCATCATCATCATCACCACCATGAGATATTTATCCCCAAAGTATTTTCCAAAGGTGTAGCACTATACTGTCACAGTGACGTACAAAGTGCCTGTTTCACTCTCTGAAAAAAATATCTTCTTTGATAGGCAAAAAATTGTATTTGTTTCCAATTTCTTTGACTAAAAGACAAGTTGATGATTTCTCCACAGCCATGAATTGTCTTTTTGTCCAACTCATATATATCTATTGGAAACTTTGTGTTTTCTACTTGAATTGCCAAAAGTATAAACATAGTGAAAATACAGACCTTCTGCTCATCATCGTAGCTCCATGTAGCTTTCCCAGACTATTTTACTTCCCATATGAGCCTCCTTTTTTTTAATCAAAAGAAGTTACTTTTTCTGAAGTCAAGCCCAAATATAATTTCCTAAGTGGTTTCTTTTATTACTCTTAAAGTAAGAAAGGCCTTATATATCCATAAACAGATATAAATTCATATGCTTTCATTTTTAAAAAATGTTTAACTCTATCATCTAGAATTTTTTAGTGTTAAGTGTGGAGTGAGGATCCATATGAATTTTTTTTCTAAATATTACATCAATTTTCCAAACAATTTATTCAATAACTCATCACTTTTCATTTAGCTCCTTAAAAGGTCATTGTGATGACAAAAATTACAATAAAACATTATTGGTAGTCATCTCCTTGGTTTTAGTTGTTGGCCCAGAAGCCTTTTTCCAAATGGGGATGGCAGGATAAAGCTCTTATTTCCAACGGTGGGGAGAAGGGGAGATGGTAATTAGAAGGTGAAAGTTTCATGACTGTCATGAACTAAATAGTTATGTCCCTCAAAATTCGTATGTTGAAGCCCTAACCCCCAGTGTGACTACAGTTGCAGACAGAGCCCATGAGCAGGAGACAAAGCAGAAAGAGAGCCCATACTAGCAATAGAATTAGCCAGCACCTTGATCTTGGACCTCCCAGCCACCAGAGCTGTGAGAAGATATATTTCTGTTGTTTAAGCCAGTCTGCAGTATTTTCGTTATAGCAGCCCAAGCAGACCACAATATTGATCATTTTGCATTTTCTCTTTTGAGTGTATGATACAGATTTTGCTTATAATAACTTGTTTCCCCAAAGAC